GCCTGCGCCTAAATTTGGTGCCCCTAACACACACTTCAACGCAAAAACAACTTCAGTTGGAGACAGCTGCATAACAACCGTGAAAAACCCATGTTGCGCCAAGATCTAAGTGATGGTAACTTGGTGGTAGCTTTCTGCAGCCGCGAAATTGATACTATGCCCACAATGACGACTGCGACCTAGTAACAACATGAGGTCGACGACCCTACTGCAGTGAGGCATCCCTGGAAACATATTCTAATTGCCCGTCCAAAAGACACCGTGCCTCCCAGAGAACAAGTAAGACTACAGGAAGAGAAGTGCAGAAGTTCCGCAGGTTAAGACTGTCACCACATGTGAGCACGATGCTCCAGCAAGTGACAGGCACAGACCCACACATATTCTAACTGCTTTTTGGTACAGATTCTTTCCAGGCTTTGTAACTATATTCTGACTGCGAGCTCCACATAGCACTCCCACATGTTGAAGTCACAGCCGATCATATGTGACTACCATAATCCCATGGGGGATTGCGTATTACGAAGAAGTCGCTGCCACACGCATTGATGTGGGGGGAAGATGCTTCAGAGGTGTGCAGAAACAATCAAATGAGTTGCAACAGCGCTTCAGACTTGTGGCACGGCAACGCAGCACCGCATTGCCGTGGAGACTCCTCCCTCGACGCCTACTTGGAAGGCAGTGTACTGTTGTTGTCGTTGCCGTTGCCGTTGCCGTTGTTGTTGTTGTTGCTGCTGCTGCTGCTACCTGCTGCTGGGTCTGTGGCTGTTTCTGGTCACTTCTTTTCCCGGTTCACGGTCTTCGGGCCTCGCACGGGGCCTCGTTCATGTCTCCTTCTTCCCACGTCGCTCGTGTCTCCTTCTTCCCACCATCCCACGAAAGAAGTGTGCAGCTGGTTTTGAACTGCAAGGCCTCTCTTCATCTGAGCCCGTCAGATCGCCGAGACAAGGCTTTTCGTGTGAGATTGGCGTGCCCGTCGACGGCCGGCTACAAGCGGCTTGCGTGCCACCCCACGGGGCGGCTGCAAGGCGCTTGCTGGCCAGCTGCAGACCGGCGCCCACTGCTAGCAAGATGACGCGCGCGAACGACGTCGCCTGGAAGACTCACTGCAATGCATACACGTGCTGATGTCCTGACTAGGGTGGTCTTATCCATACATGCCACGCTACACGTGTTACGCTTGATATATACCTCATACCTACATAAACCATCAAGGCCTTTTATTTTTGAATGCCTTTCAAGCCTTCTGCAAACGAGCGCTTCTGTCGTGACTCCTGTCGTCCGAACTGCTCTATATGCCGCCGGCGGTTTCCGTGTTCAAGCCTCGGTGATTGCATTGGGTGCGGTCCCATGGTCAAAACAACGGCCACACTGCACTATGCCACCATGCTGTAGTGCACACCACATATGTCAGCTTTCATTCACGGTCTTGCGGCATTCATTTTCGAGCCATGTCCGGCTGGGAAAACATCTCTGAGTGCACGGATGGGTGGATGATCCGGAAGATCCGGATACATCGCCCGCCACTGGGCCGGACGACGCTGTTGAGATAGACATCCAAACCACAACTCCGTCGGGTCCGTGGACTTTTGCGCCCGTGGCCACTGGATGAGAGCCCTGCTGCCCCCAACCTTCTCCGCCAGCAATTCGAACGGCGCCGGTCCGCCGCAGCTGCAGCCTCCGAACATGCACCTTCGGCGGCTTTCTTTGTCTGCTACGGGCGACGCCGAGCGCGTCCGGGTCCTGGAGGAACAGCTCCGGAAAGTCACTGAGAAAGCAGCTCGAGCGCGCAAGGCAAAGAGCAAGCGCGAAAAGAAGAGGAAGGCCAAAAAGAAGGATATGGCCAAGGCTGCCAAGTGTCAACTCGAGAGCAGCAAAGACTGAGCCGAGCAGCTGCCGCCTGGACGAAAAGGTGCGCCTGCAGAGCGAATTGAAACTTAGAAACGTTTTCCTGACAGCTTACAGCAGTCTCAGTTTGTGCTTGCATTTGAATTACATTGGACCATCGAGTCTTTGGACGCATGCTTTTGGTTACACTGCTGCACGGGTTCCCATGTAGCAAGCACGCGTGCATGCGCGCACCGCGCCCCCGCACCTACAAGCCTTTGCCAACTTGCGAACATCCATACGCATCTGTAGTGTACTGTCCCTGGAAGAACACTTAGCGGCCAGAAAAACATGTGGTGTGGAGGTCAATCTCATAAGAAGCCAGCTGGATGCCCGACTCCTTAAAAGTCTCTAAGTGAAAGGCGCCTTTTGACTCAAGCTTGGCAGCCCGACGGCGCTGCCCTGTCCACTTGTGAACTAATTCGACTAATTCGGGTCACGTCTACATGGGCATGGCCTGTACATGTGTGCACGCAAAATCTACTGAGCAAACAGACCACGGCTAGATTCTTTCACTCTTGCAGCCCTTTGCAGCGCCATGGCTGAATGGGTAGATATACCCGGTGCGATTCGAGTAGCAGATCCTGCTGGATTGTTGGCTGATTGTGACTGTCCTGAACGGGGCTTCTATTTGTGGTGCAGCTTCCAAGTTCATGGTCGTAAGGTCCTTCGGTGGCGGCCTGCGGTGAAGGCACTGCCATCTGTCATCCTGCTCACCCAGCGATTTGGGGTCACTTGACGTTGGTACCAGCAATTCTCCCTGCGGTTGGTCGTTCAGATGGCCTCTTTCTGGGGCGAGGCGAAAGTGCATTGGTAGCCGGGCTTTCGACGGTCTTTCAACCGCTTCAAGTTAAAGCTTGAGGATGCTTGGTTCAAAATCCGGCTCCTGGAGCGATATTGGCAAGTACAACCGCATGTGCATATGTCTTTGTCAACCGACAAAGAACACCTCATTCGACAAGTCGGAGATGCCTATGACGCGTTCATGATGAAGATCAGGAAGAGTCAAGTCACTCGCTCAGACAAGCCTCTATTGGGATTGGTCATAGACGGTCACGTCAAAGCTGGCGCACGGAGGCGTTGTGGCGTTCCATCGGTTTCTGCTACCTTGTGCCAGCCCTTGCAGGCATGGTCCTTGACCACTTGCCCTCGCACACCAGCCTACAAGCACAAGTTTTGCCCCTGGCATGTTCGCTGTCTGGCAGCTTTTGATGCAGAACCAACAGCTGTTCACTCTGTGTCCCGAGCTGCTTCCTTGGCTCAGAGCGGCGATGATCTCTTGCGTGTGATCCTGTCTCAACGTGGCGCGCGTGCAGAGAAAGAGCTCAGTAAACTCACACGCGCCGAGAACATGCTGGTTCGAGGGTATTTGACTGCTTGTCACCGAGTCAAAACCCTACAGCAGGTGGAGCCTGTGATTCATGACGGAACCACACTGCAAGAGCTTTTGGATTTGCAATGCCAAACTCACAAGCAAGGGGATACGGGTGCGAAAAGTCATCGGGCCGGCGGACTTCTGGTGGCTTGTCGAAGTGATGGCTTGATAGTTCATGTATGTTCATGTGCAAGAATATCACGGTGCAGAATCCCTGTCCCAACGCTATGCTTTCATTGCCCACCTCAAAGCCACGCACTCCAGCCTCCAGGTGTTGGTCCATGATGACGCCTGTCACTTGCGCAGATTTGCCCACAACCGTTTTGCGGCCGCAAGCAGGAAGCACATGTATACGTGACCATAAGCGTAAAGAATGTCTATCTTTACCCCTTTTGGTTGTGCTGCGCAGATTTCACTAAGGTAAGCATTGGAATGCGCTGGCCGAATCCCTCGCCTACCCGCAAATGAAATACATCGTGGACAAGTTTCACAGCAGGGGCCATGTCGATGCTTGGTGTGTAGCCAATTGCGGGCCTAACGTGCCTGAAAACAGCGAGGTTGTCACTGAGATAAACACATCCATCTGCGAGATCACGTTTGCGTGGCTGGCTCGATTCAAGCGCATGGCGC